TCTGGTGAGCATTACTTCCTTTTGCCTTGTGTTTTGTTTTGAGGTCGCCCAGAAGCCTAATCGGGGTTTGATTGAGTGCATGTGTGCTGGTCCTATCTCGTCCCATGTCGTTTGTCGTAGTTGTTGTATGTGGAGTTCGAGGATGGCCTTGCAGTCGTCTGCCGGGTACTGTATTGCAAGTGGTTCTGCTAGATGCAATGCTTGCTTTGCTAGTTTGTCTGCCTTTTCGTTTCCAGAGATAGAAGCATGTCCAGGAATCCAAAGAAATTTAATGTTTCGTTTTTCAGGGATAGAATTTTGAATGCGAGAAATGATGAAATGTGTTGGGGTTGTGGTGTTACTCAGGGCTTGTAAGACTGATTTTGAGTCGGTGCAGATTACTACGTTACTAAGCTTTTCATGGGTACATAATTTGACGGCGAATAAGAGGGCCATGGCCTCAGCTGTGAAAATGGAGAAGTTATCCGGTAAACGTCTGCTTAATTCAAAGTGTGGAGTCGTCAGTGCAAAAGCTACTTTGTGTTCCTGTTTTGAGCCGTCAGTGTACATGAATGTTTTGTTTGGGCGCTGTGCTTTGTATTCGTTAAATTTCGACTGCATTTCTGTTGGTGTGATGTCTGATTTGTTTCCAGAGAAAAGATATTCGATTTTGGGTGGTGCCTTTAGCCAGAAGGGTTTTGCTCGAGGCCTGGGTGCTAGAACCGGTAAAGTAAATTGCAGTTTAGATAAGCAGGTGCTCAACTGATCATTTAGTGATGGGTGTCGTAATCGGGAATGTCTATGACATCCGAGTCTGCTTATCGGCCGGAAGCAGTGTTGCACTGGGTGGTTCGGAGTTGTTTTAACGTTAATGGCATATCGGCAAAGTTGTTGCATACGTCTTTCCTGGCAATTCAACAAGTTGACGTCGGCCAGAAGTGTCGCGTTTCGTGTACTGGGTATGGCCCCGGTTGCAATGCGCAGACATGTGTTCTGGATGGCTTCTATTTGTTTTATCTGGTGATCTGTTAGGCTTCCGTGATAAGCTATACTGCAGTACTCTAAAATGGGTCTGATGATGGCCTTGTATAGTTGCAAAATGGTTTTTCGGTCGCCGCCCCAGTCTGTGCCTGTGAGCGCACGGAGGAGGTTCATGCGCTTTGCGCACTTGTTTTTGATGTCTTTGATGTGCTTAGAAAATGTTAAATTTCGATCTATGCGGACTCCTAAGAATTTGAAATCTTTAGCTTCCTTAACTGCTTTGCCGTTAAGGTTTAACCTAGTGTTAGTGGTTTTCCGGTTTCTAGTGAAGGTTACAGAGGCGGACTTCTCGGTTGATATGGTGAAGCCCCATTCTTTGCACCATAATGCAATTTTGTTCAGGCCAAGTTGGACGTCTTTTTCGACCTTGAAGAGGTCGTGGTGTGTAGCCCAAATGACTCAGCAGTGCCGAAACACTGCAGGTTTTGGCAACACGAACGATAAAGTACGCTACCGGCTACGCATCGATAAAGTACGTAGGACAGAAGTACGTGAGCAGCGGGGGTGGATCCAGGATGTCCATGGGACGGGGGCAGCCAGTACAGCGGCGGCAAATGTTCTGTTTACGGGTTAAATCTGAGAACAATATTCAAAAGCTCTGTAAAAGGGCTATCGAATGCGCTTTTCCGCGGCGCTGTAGCTCTTTTGATTTTCGAGTTAGCTGTTGACAGTTTTCAAAAGTATTAGAATGGACTAAATTCGACATTTGATGACCTGGCTACCTGACCTTCCTATGAACCTAACCTAAATAATGACCGAAACGTTTCCGTCATTAATTTTGACGCTCATTCGATTGCCGCTTACCGCGCGTCGGCACGTGGCCCAGAGGCCGAGTTAGAGGGGGGCGTGAGCAGTAGTGGCGGAACACCTTCGATTAAAGGAAACAGTTCACTTTCCTGAAATTAGTATTTTGCTATGGATTTACGATTTTTTATGCTCAAAATGATCAGAAAATAAAATAAAACCTTTTTGTAAAAACAATTATTTTCTATATTTTAATATAGGATGAACTATATTTTATGTAAAATAATGTTTGACGCGGAAGCTTATTACGCGTTGACCAATCATATTGCGGAGTTCAAACCTACGCATGCTGCATTAGCTGTAAGCAGCATGCTGATTGGCTGACGATGACGTGGCTGCATTCCTGTGCAAGGCACACATTCCTCTGCAAGGCACTCTTTTCGGAACGAGAAATGGAATATCTTCGTCTAGGGTGATCGTTGAGCCGTAAAAGCTCCTGATTTGTGCTAGTCTCAGCTCAAGCTACGAAACTGCTATTCCAGTTCAAAATCCCATGTTAAAAGTGAGCTATTTCCTTTAAGGGGGGGGCACCGCCGACTTTTGGTCCCATTCTTTCCATGCAACGCCCATAAGGGCTAATGTTAAAATGCCAAAATCCAGGGGGGGCACGGTGCCCCGGTGCCCTCCCCGTTCCGCCGCCTATGGGCGTGAAAACGCCCCCCCCCCCACAAGCACGACACGGAAAACGTAGGCCACCAGCACGGCGCGGGTTATCAAAAATTTAATATAATGTTCCTGCACGGAACGGAACACATCTAAAGTCCGATTCAGCTTGACACTCTGGTCTTTTATCGAGGTGTAATTATTGTGGGTGGGTAATTTATTTAGCTGCTGTTGTTGTGTGTAATTATTGTTGTGTGGGTACGGCGGGGAGGGGGCTTACAGCCGCCGAGCAGCTGCTCGGATGTGCCGAGCCCGGATAGCTGTGCTCTGTACCGTGAGCGTGCCTTTTCGCTGTATGTACTATACCTCTATTTACTGCTCCGACCTAACTAATGCTCCCTTCCTCCCCTCCCCACGCGCAGGACGATGACAAGGACTTCCACCCTGACGACTCCGAGGGCAAGCGGTAGAGTTCTGCACGGCTGCAATTTTCCACAGCCTAGCCGCCCCGCAGCCGTGGCTCCACAGCCACAGCCGCCCACAGCCGTGGCAAACTGTGGGCAGCCAGCCGTCAGCCGGCCGTGGATACTTTCAATGAAATGCAACCAAATAGTATATAATAAGTTGTTTTTAGTTGAAACATATAGCCAAAAGCACATTGCAATGGGCTATAGATTCTCAATCTCATGAAGCATCATAGGTTAAGTGGTTGTGTATCTGGCTTTAGGCCGAAGGCCTGAAGCCTGATGCGCATCGCATGCCTACACAAGCCCTTGCAAGGGGTTAAGAAAGATGGGTAGGTAGGTACGTACATCAACAGAAAACATAAACAACAAACCAGAATAGAAGCACTAGCAGTGTAGACATCTAATGCCAAATCCTGAAGCATGGTTGTGGGACAGAACAACAGACCCTGATGCTTTTCATTATCAATGTTAGGTATGGAAAATGAAACTGAAGTTGATGGACTGTCAAACAGTGATGGTCTAGTCAAAACTCTTGCTTCTTTCTTACCTTGCATATTTTCGGGGGGGGGGGGGTGATATGCCAGGCTTGAAGCAGCCTTCTGAGCAAGTCTCAAACTAATTTGATATGCAAGGCATCAAAACACTAGTGAGCATCCAAGAAAGAAAAACATTCATCTATTTTGATTTTTCCAAATAATGATCTTCGCTCAAATCCCCAAGGACGTGCGAGCCACAATTGCCTCATTTAATCAAAAATTTTACTTGAGTTTTGATGACGTCAATAGCAAAGCAGTGGCAATAAATTGTTTTGTGTCACTATAAACAGCCCTAAAAAAATATAATTAATAAATAATAATACTATACAGTTCAAAACTTGCTCTTAAACAAAGATTGGTTATCAATTTTTTACATTTTCAGAAGAAGACGTCATTTTATTAGTAAAGTCAACAGCTCGCGTAAGAAATATTGTGTTCAGGGTTTTCACCGTCATGTGAATTACGTGTTCAGCGTTTTCACCATCATGTGAATTAACCGTAAGTAAGGTTCATGCTCACTTATAATCTAATTCCATTGGCTTCGTTGATCAGCATTTTCTGTTAGCGGTCACTCGCACACCAGTTAGAACATAAAGCGCCAGTTTTATATTATGTAATTGGACTTGCCGAAAATCTAGAAATACATCTAAGAGTAATTTTAGATAATATTTTATGAAGCTTTTACCTGCCTTTACCTAGGCGTGATTTCTTTTTCTATTACCTGAAAGATTTATTGAACGCTCATCTTCAATAGCTGTAAGGTGCTCTCCTAATGACCAGGTGAGATTGATTTGAGAGGGATGTGACAATGCAACATGTTGCATTTTCTGAAACTGTCAAGCTCTTGATGATGAAGGAACAATTGGTACCTATAATTAGTCTTCTGTACCAGAGCGCAAACTCCCCTACAGCAAATGGTAAAACCATTACAGTTTTTCAAAGGCTTCACCACTTTCAATGTTGCTGGGCATCCTTTGCATGATTTTTACAGGCTAGACTGCTTATCAGAATGTAAGATTAAGGATTTAAAATTGTATATTTGAGTACTTAAGATTGAGCTTGAAATCTCACAGCCGTGGCCACAGCCGTAGCCGTGTTCTTGGAGATATTTGTAGCCGCCCCGGCCCACAGCCGTGGGGCTGCAGCCAGCCGCGGCTGCAGCCGGCCGGTGCAGACCTCTAGCAAGCGGAGTCAGACCCCGAGGAGTCGGCTCCCGAGGCGGGCACATTCTGCCCGCCCCGCAGCCGGCAAACAACCGACCGTTGACCGTTCCCGAGTTAGCTGTTGGCAGTTTCCAAGGTTAGACCGGGAGCGGGTTAACTGGTCGACAAAAGGAATGTGAAGTGTTTACGAAGTAATATAAAGCGTGGGTCGGGTGGGGTACTATTTCTAGGTATATATTTTTCTAATTTAAAAAATATGGTGTCAGGGCTATGACGAAAAATAAGGGGCCTAAATCCGATAAGAAAACAGGATTTTGGGGTACCCTAGGTTTGGCTCCTTGCATGAGTTGCCCCCTCTCCCCCCCCCCAAAAAAAAAGAAACAATCCGCCAGTTTCCAAGTTGCAAAATGGAGACAGGAGAGGTCTGAAGGCGGAAGCTGCCCTGAGCCTGCTTATGATATGCTTACTAATGATGATAGTATGTTAACTAATGATGTATGTTTGACTTAACCCGCGCCCTGCTGGGGGTCCTGGATTTCCACGCCCTGCTGGGGGGGGGTGTTCAAACACCCCCCCCTTCTAACTCGGCTCCTGGGCCACGTAGCGATACGCGGAAGGCGGCGTTCGAAAGAGCGTAAAAAATAATGAGGAAATCACTTCGGTCAATTTTTTGGTCAGGTCAAAGGTCAGGTCACCAGAGGTCATTGAAGGCAAAATTTCGCCGATTTCCAGGTCGAATGTCGACAATTTCCAAGAAGCCAACGCATAACTCGGGAACCAATAGAGCTACAGCGCTGCGGAAAAGCGCATTCGATAGCCCTATTAACGCTCTTTCTGAGTAATTCTCTCAGATTTGACCTAGCTTCAACGGTTTTGCCTGCAGGGGGTAAAAACTGCAAAAATAGCCGATTTTTTCGGAAACAGTTTTTCTGCAATAACTTTTGACCCAAACCTTGTAAGAGCTTACTTTTACCGGCATCGTGTTCCTCTCGTCAAGACGCATCGAATGAACTATAACTTGACCTTGAAAGGTCAACTTGAAAATTTGACCTCAGGTCAAGGTCATGACCTGACCGGAAAGGGTCATGTTGCATATCAGTCGATCCGTATCGTCCAGCTGAACACATCTAAGGCGTTTTCATCGCTCTAGCATGCCTCTATCAAAAGTTATTTGCGAAAAACTGTTAGATACCATTCGTGACCTAAGATGACCTCAGGGGCATAACCAGGGGTCACGGACACCATTTTCATGTTCAGTGTGTCTAAACCACTTGTAATTCAGTGTTTGGGAGTGTTTATAATGCTTTTCGTCCAAAAGAGGCGCATTTCAATTTTCTCCCATTGACTTATAATGGGGAGGTCGCAAAATTGACCTGACCTTAGGTCATCGATATCAAAATTCTGAGATATACATTTTTTACATGCTATTGTTCTTAGTAATCGCTGAAAGTTTCAAAGCGATCGGTCACTCGGTGTAGCTATGGCAGACATTGAAACTTTGTATGAGGTGGGGTCACTTCAAGTGACCTGGTGACCTGACCTTGAATGACCTTGGTCTGAAATTTTCACAACATATGTAGAATTGATGTATGATAAGGTGTACCAAAAACGGCGGCGCTCCGCGCCGCCGTTTTTGAGATATCCGCGAAAAACCACAGGGGGGGGGGTGTGTGTTCAAACACCCCCCCCCCAGCAGGGCGCGGGTTAACCTGTAACATCTTCATCTCCATTCTGCATTCCGTCTCCATTCCCGGAAATATCTCCACCCCACACGACTCCCGGTAATATCTCCACCCCACACGACTCCCGGTAATATCTCCACCCCACACGACTCCCGGTAATATCTCCACCCCCACACGACTTCCGGTAACATCTCCACCCCATACGACTCCCGGTAACATCTCCATCCCATACGACTCCCGGTAACATCTCAATCCCCCCCTCTCCACAGGATGGAGCAGCACGAGAACTGCGAGGCGCAGCGCGCCGCCCTGCAGCGCCGGCTCACCTCACTGCAGGCCGCGGCCTGCAGCGCGAGCGTCAGCCAAACCGACGAGGCCGACGCGCTCAAGGTGAGAAAGCCGCCGGGAAATGTGGCCAAGGCTCCTCCACCCCGCAGACGTCGTGCCGCGGCCGCTCGTCCCGCGACAATAAGGCGCAGTCACACAACTCGGTCTCACGATGGACCAAAGTCAGCCACACAGACGCGTGAAATGGCCCTTATCGACTCGCAGACCCGACACTCTCGGCCCGCCTGACCGGCCACGGAAGGAACGTTCGGCTATCGTTACTAAACGGGCGTCACATTTGTCAGTTTAACGATTCAAGTCGGTACTGGAGTTATTCGAGATACCTGAGAAGAAGATTTATTGTTCTGTCATCTTCATTTCAGGTATTAATATGCATTTGTTTATGTCTACTTTATTCAATTCAGCTAGATATATTATGCCCAGACAAGGAAAGTTGGCCGCCATGTGTTTCGTTTTGTATAGGATTGCAATAGTTTCAGAATTTGACCATTAACCCTATGGCGGTGCATGGTAAGAGTGGCTTTGATTCTGCGAGCGTGGCGGCACAGCATATCCACAGGCGCCTGACGCTGCTGCCACCTAGTGGAACGATTTGAACTACCCGTGTCCGGCGGCACAGCATACCTATACACAGGCGTTTGACGCCTCTGCCATCTAGTGGCGAGGTTGAAACTACAGTCTGTGTATGGCGGTACAGTATTTCTTCAGGCGTTTGACGCTGCTGCCACCTAGTGACGATTTGAACTAACGGTGTCCGGTTGTACAGCATATCCACAGACGCATTGGCTTTCACAACTGTTGTGTGAAATTGGGCCTCAACTGGACTGGAGTGAGGGTAGCGCCCGGTGAGGCAAGGTAACTTTTGACCGGTCGCAAGGCCGAACAGCTGTCGCTGGTACAGTCTCTGACAGTGAAACCCCGCTAACTTTCCCTGCGCGGGAAATGAGCGCAGCTAGATGGAGCAAAACATGTGTATGAAAATGTAAATCAAGGAATATTGTAAATCCAGCAGAACACTGAACTTTCTTCGCAGGTATCCTGAATAGCTTTGATAGCGGTATGGATGGATCGTTAAACAAACAAATGTGACACTTGTTTAGCAGCGCGAGACTCTGACGTTTCCTCCGTGGCCGGTCAGACAGGCCGAGAGCACCGGGTCTGCGAGTTGATAAGGGCCATTTCACGCGTCTGTGTGGCCGACTTTGGTCCATCGTGAGACTGAGTTGTGTGATTGCGCCTTATTGTTGGCTGCGGGAGAAAATATGCCTATGATTTGAAGAAATCCTGGGACAGCCTGTCAAATAAAGAAATAACGTTTTTACACAAGCGTAATTTTTCAAAGAGGCCATCGATCGATTTTGATAAAAATTATGTTTCTGGAATCAGCTCACCGTCAGGTTTCGAATGGTATATGTCGTTTCTTTTGAGCCTGACATGACCTTCCGACGAACCATGCGGGAGCGGCTCGTCGTCCGCCGGCGGCGGCCCGTCTCGGAGGGCGCGCCCACCACCACGTGCTCCGAGGGGGGGGGTGCTCACCGAGCTGATGGTGGACCAGGTGAGGACCGCAGCGGCCGGCCGCGCTCCTCGGGGTACCAGTAGACACGCGCCACATGGTGCGGCTCTGTGGACTGCGGCGGCTGCTTCTGGATGTCCGGAATGCTGGTGGCTGAGTACATGGGCGGCGCCACCGGGGGGGACGGGGGGGACAGGTCCCCCGCTATCGAAAGTTAGGGGGGTACAGTACCCCCCTATCGGCGAGGCCCGTTCAATAATTGATAATAATGCATTGTAGAGTTATCCGTCGCATTTAATGCATCGTTGGTTAATCAAGGCAGGTTCTGAATAAAGATTGCTGTTGTGATGTATCGCAGGAGGTCCTGGCCATCTGCAAAAGGTGTGGAGCTGTGATGCCTGTAGTTATAAGGTGATCGGCAGGGCCTCGGGGATCGTGCCCCCCCCCCCTTTTTGGGGCGCCAGGCAGGGTTATTACCTCCCCACCCCACTGCCAGACCCCATTGCCGACAAAACCAAGTTTACTGAAATTCCATAGATTTCCGCTACTATATGGATATTTTCCATTCCTAATTAGTCGAATTCAAGCATGGCAGTTCTACCACAGGAACCATTTGAAATCTATGCCATTTAACCCCAGCACTTGTGGGGAGAAGTGTTCGGATAGATCACAGGCAGGACCAAAAAAAGCACGCAGTAGCCCAAGACCTTATAATTGGGTAGCATCGGCTCCCTCTCGTCAAGGGGTTCGATAGCACTCGTTTTTTTTCTGCAAAACTAAGTTCGGTCGGCGGCCGAACGGCTGGGAGTCTAATCGAGCCAACCCCCCACTCCCCTTCTTACGTCAGCGGCTGTGAAAATCGGAATCCTACCCTGGGGCATTTCACCTGCAGAGGTCGCCGGACCTGAGACCCTTTCACTCATTTTTTTTTCAACGATGCATGCGCTCGTTTTTCCCGCGAAGCTCTTGGTAAGTAAAATCCATCAGAAAGTGTGATCAAATAATGGCTGGTGACCTTCCATGACCTAGCATGACCTTTTGAGTGACCACCGATGACATGACCACTGACGGCTAGCCATTAGCTGCACCCTGCCCGTTGCATATGGATCAGGTGGTGGTGGTGATGTCATGATTCTGAAATTATATTGCAGTTTTGGCGCACTTGTCAGAGCAGAAGACATTCCCACTTTTCCTCCATGACTATATGATGGTGAAGCCATGAAGCTGACCAGACGTAAGATTGAAAATTTGAAAGTACGAAACGTAAGAATGGTTGGCACTGCTACTCATCATACCTAAGTAATTCGCAGCTTGTAGGAAACCAGCTTTGAGTTGGCAAGACTGCAAATTTTGATTTAGAGGCAAGGATGCTTGAAAAGGTGATCGATCTTAGGTGTCCTAGGATAAGTTTGGAAACGGGATGCACCATTCGATGTGTTTTGGGCTTTACCAAGTTTCGCGGCGTTACGTGCCTCGTTTTTTTTTTGCATACACGATCAGTATCTACCTACTTTTGGAATTTTCGGTCAGGCAGGTCCCCGTCCCCCCCTATCGAAAACCCGTGGCGCCGCCCCTGGCTGAGTAGCATGGTTAGATGACATGGCCCATGTTGACTATGTTACCCCTGCACCCGGATGGTTGTCCGGTGTCTTGACACCCCCCCCCCCCCCCGTCTGGCAGGTACCGCCCCCGGCCGAGTCGAACCCCGGCCGGCGCCGGCTGAGCTCTGCAGACGCGGAGCCGGCAGGAGCGCACCACCAGTTCCCGCCTCGGGATCAGCCGCCGCCCGACGACTGGGCCTGCAGACAGGGTATTCGGTCACTGGAGGATAGCATAGCGACTAAAGGGGCAGTGAAAGACGGTCTTGGCTAGATCATTGACACCTGTCACCCATGCCTAGAATTGATGTTCGACCGTTTGTACTATAAACCTTTGAAACCTGGGCGCCCTACTGAATTAATTTAGAAAAGGCTGTCAGCCCTTGCCTTGAGCTAGCCTCCACGCAGACGCTCACTTTTATGGTCATGCCCTCTATGTACATATCCTGTCGTGCACCTGTGTCGCGTGTCTGCTTCGCCGGTTTGGTGTCGTCCCCCCCCCCCCCCCATGTACCGCCCGCTGCTGTGGTGTATCTCCGTATAGCGCTAGTAATTGACCGCTCTGTGCCTCTGTTAACCAGGCGATCGGTCCGCTGCAGGCGAGTTTGTGCTCGTGTACGACCCGCTGCCGTCTCCCATCAGCGGCGACATCATCACCGGAGGCCGGCCGCCCGGCTCAGTGACGGCCCGCTGCACCTGCACATGATCGGCGCCGGCGTCACGGGGCCGCCGGGTCCCGGGTGAGCCGCTCCGCCGCACAGTGTGGCCCAACACCAGTTTAGCGAGAATTAAATCCCAACGACGCACAGTGTGGCCAAACACCAGTTTAGCGAGAATTAACCCGGCAGTTGCTGGGGTATTTCGCCACCCACCGTTTGCTGGGGGGGGGGGGGCGTTTAACGCCCCCAGCCGATAACTCGAGAACCAATAGGTGCAGCGAAACGCACGAGGCGGCAAACGAAAGAACGCGACGAGACGCTTCAGATGAGTACTTTAAAGTTGAATTTTGAGGTCACAGGTCGGGTCAAGGTCATGTCAAACACCTGAAATCGGGCTTTCAGTAGCATGGACATCTCACATCAGGACTTCGCAATGGGCGCCTCTCATCATAAACTCTGTCAAAACGGCGCAAAATCCATCATATAAGGTCTACGAGAGTGTCAGCTCCATGTAGGGGTCAGTCAAGCATAGGTCAGGGTTAAGGTCAGGTCAACCGGGTAGGCACATATGTATCCCTGAAAATCAAAACTGATATTCGCAGCCTGGACACATGTTTTATGTGTAATTTGGGGCGCAGAACACGATGGTGACATTCATTTTATCATATGTGTACGTGTTTGGCTCAAAAAGTTCAATTTAAGAAATGCATCTATCATGGTCGTGAAGTAGTCACGAGAAATTGCCAAGATTCAGTTCACGATTTTGGAAAATGCGGAACGATAATCAATAATCGAAGATAGCCATTTGATTGTTCATGGTATTGGCAGTCTAATGGCGTTTACGGCATGTCTGTATGTCTATTCTCTGATTTTATATGATTTTTTGAACATATGCCGTTTTTGGCCGAAAACTCAGAAATCATGCCGTCACTTAAACCTCGATATCTCAAAAATTTTCCGACCGATTTTTTTGAAACTTTGTCACAATAAACTTCAATCAATTCCCTACAGGTACTCAAGATTTAGCGCGCCTGCGGCGCGCCGTTTTTATGCTATGGCCCGGCGAAAAAAGTGGGGGCGTTTAACGCCCCCCCCCCCCCCCAGCAACTCGCGGGTTAAATCCCAGCGCCGCTCGGATCCACTGAAAGTGGTTCTCTGGTTCCAAAACTGACACCCCTCGCCGGACCGATTGGTTTTCTAAACACGCGCCGGCCGAGGGGGGATACGTACTGTTGCGTACGAATATTTGTCTGCGGTATTTTGTCTTACGTACTTTATACTTTACGTACTCTTGCATACGTACTTTTGCGTACGAACATTTGCGTACGTACTTTTGTCCTACGTAACGTACTTTTGCGATGCGTACTAAAGTCCGCGAATCACTGAAGCGTACGATCCAAATGCCCGTCACCTAGGTGGCAGCACCGTACAGAGCCGGCAGCAAAGTACCCGGTGAGTTCTGACAAAGCGGCGGTAGGTGGCAGCACCACCTACCACCTACAGACTATGCAGTATGAAACTCGGCAGGTTCTGACGACTTGGCGGTAGGTGGCAGCACCGTATCGACTCTCAGCGGTGAAACAGCAGGTTTTGGCAACACGAACGATAAAGTACCTACGCATCGCTAAAGTACGTAGGACAGAAGTACGTGAGCAGCGGGGGTGGAGCCAGGATGTCCATGGGACGGGGGCAGCCAGTACAGCGGCGGCAAATGTTCTGTTTACGGGTTAAATCTGAGAACAATATTCAAAAGCTCTGTAAAAGGGCTATCGAATGCGCTTTTCCGCGGCGCTGTAGCTCTTTTGATTTTCGAGTTAGCCGTTGACAGTTTTCAAAAGTATTAGAATGGACTAAATTCGACATTTGATGACCTGGCTACCTAACCTTCCTATGACCCTGACCTAAATAATGACCGAAACGTTTCCGTCATTAATTTTGACGCTCTTTCGATTGCCGCTTACCGCGCGTCGCCACGTGGCCCAGAGGCCGAGTTAGAGGGGGGCGTGAAAACGCCCCCCCCCCCCCAGCACGACACGGAAAACGCAGGCCACCAGCACGGCGCGGGTTATCGAAATATTTAATATAATGTTCCTGCACAGAAAACATCTCAAGTCCGATTCAGCTTCGCACACTGGTCTTCTATCGAGGTGTAATTATTGTGTGGGTAATTAATTTAGCTGTTGTTTTTGTGTGTAATTATGATTGTGTGGGTGCGGCGGGGGGGGGGGGAGGGCATACAGCCGCCCAGCATAGCTCTATTGTGCCGAGGCCGGATAGCTGTGTAGTGTACCGTGAGCGTGCTTTTTCGCTGTTGATGTACCATACCTGTTTACTGTTCCGATCTAACTAATGCTCCCTCCCCTCCCCATGCGCAGGACGACAAGACTTCCACCCTATCGACGCCGCGGGCGAGTGGAGTCAGACCCCGAGGAGTCGGCTCCCGAGGCGGGCACATTCTGCCCGCGCCCCGCGGCCGGCAAACAACCGACCGCGCTGATGACGACCAGATGTACGGTATGTCTGAAAACTATGTCCCCTGCTTTAGCTCTCCCACGGTAGGCGAAACGGTAAATTGGCGAAATCCGCCACCGAGGTAGGGAGGGTCAGAGAGGGGAAGGGAGGGGAAAGAGGGGCAGCCGCTCGGCACCAGGTGATGCCTGGCTGACCCCGCGCTCCCTCCATGACCTCCATCCTGCCCTCAGGCGAGGACCGATTTCCTCGGCCAGTATAGCAACCGAGCGGTGAAACCGACCTCGCGGGGCGCGACTACACTTGCCCGATCTTATAAAGGGAGTGTTTTTTTCACGGTGATATTTATAGAGATACCAACACTCAGCAATGGATGTGGTAAAATACAGTCCAAAACAAACGGAAGCACACAATTGATTCAAAGTATGCTCTCCCATTCCAAGAAATTCACCCACTGGCCACTTCTATAGAGGTTGCAATTTCTTAGGGCGTAAAATTCACGTTGCTGCAAAACGAACAAACTACCGAACTTTACGAAATAAGCAACTGTGATCCCGTCAATATACGATGGACTGAAATGCATGAAAACCATTTTGCACGTAATGGCCGTTTCCCTCACCTTACCTTTAGCCAATGCCCACTGACGCCATATCCATTCCACGGCGCTTATCTCTATTAGTTACGGAGCGAGCGAAGCGAGCGGAGTCTTACGTAGAATAACGGAAATTTCTGAGTATGAGCGGCCGGCCGGCCGGCCGGCCGGCCGGCCGGCCGGCCGTGCGGACGCTTTTGCGAGGCTTATATCTCAGCAACCACTTGACCGATTTACACGCGGTAATTTTTATAGGGTAGCTTCATTCCTTCTACCAAGTATTGGACTATTCCCGATGCATGTGAGTGACCCCTTATGCACGTGCCACGTGCAAAACGAAGAGGTGTCAGTTTTGCAATTGTTGCAATATTTCGGTAACTACTTGGCCGATTGCGCTGAAAGTTGGCAAGTAGGTAGGCACCCACTAGGCACTGCATATCCATGTGCCAGAGTTGGGGTGCTGCTGCACGTGCGCACGTGCAGGGGTCGTTTCCAGATCTCGAGAACGGCTGGACCGATTGCGCTCAAATTTGGTACACAGTTAGGGACCGGTTAGTAGGGTGCCGTGCAAAAGCCAGTCGGGACCCATTTTGCACGTGCGCACGTGCAGGGTGCCGCTTCCAGATCTCGAGAATGGCTGGGCCGATTGTGCTCAAATTTGGCACATCGCTAGAGACCGGTTAGTAGGGTGCCGTGCACAAGTCAGTTGGAGGTACCCCCTCGAAATTTCGCACGTGCAAGACTCACCCCCTCGCTCGCTCCGTTAGTCGCCCCAAAAGGCGCTATACTGGTGGCAGGGGGTTTTTTCATCCACCCCTCAGGGTTTTTCGGGAATATCTTCAAAACGGCTAAATCTAGGAAGCTGAAATTTTCAGACTTATCTCAAAACTAAACTGAGCACATTTCCTGAAAATTTCAAGTTGATACCTATATCAGGGGCGGTTCCAAAGCATGGGGAATTGGGAGATCCTATTCGTGAAGTGAGTCATTTGGGTGAAGATCACAATGCTGATGCATTATAACTGTAGTTATTCATTTTGTAGGTATATCAGCATTATTTGTAGATATTACAAGTTCACAAGTGAACAAGGGAGTGTGTGATAAAGAGTGTGTGATATAGTGAGAGTGTGATAAAGTGAGTGTATGATAGTGTGTGATAAAGTGAGTATGTGATAGTGTGATATAGTGAGAGTGTGATAACGTGAGTGTGTGATATTGTGTTATAGAGTATGCGGTATAGTGAGTGTGTGACAGGGGCGGATCCAGGAAAACTCCAAGGGGAGGGTCATGAATCGAAGTGGTGCCCCTACCTATACCCAAAATTAAAAACTCAACGGATTTCGTCCACTTCATTTTGGTGGTGCCCCCATTTTCAGTTTTTTTTTCTTTTTTTTTTAGTCAGTATCTTAACACGCGCACTGCAGGGGGGCGGTTGTTTTCAACCCCCCCCCCCTGTGGTTTTTCGCAAATTGCGAGAAAACGGCGGCGCGTAGCGCCGCCAAATTTTGCATACCTGTTCTCACAACTTTTGCACACCTTGAGTAAAAATTTTGACCCCAGGTGACCTATGGTCAGGTCACCAGGTCAGGTCAAGTGACCCTACCTCGAAACGTAAATTTCGAAGTTTGCAATCCCACCAAGCCCACAGTTGTTGAGATATGATCTTGAAACCCACAGGAAATAGTAAAGTCATCACGAGCTACAACTTGTATATCTCGGAATTTTTATATCGATGACCTAAGGTCAGGTCATTTTTGCGACCGGCCCATTATAAGTCAATGGGAGAAATTTCAACTTACTCTGAATGCCATCCTATGACTTCAATACGCTCAGGATCATAGTATTACAGGTCCCTGTTGGTGATTTCACCGAAACATATCACTTATGACCTTTGGAAGGTGATCTCCAGGTCATCTTAGGTCACCTGAGGTCACCAGCGGTTTTTCTTCAATAACTTGAGATTGAGTAGAGATAGAGACTCCGTTCGACGTTTATCGTGTTTTTCTCGTCAATGCGGATCGAATGATATGCAACATGACCTATTTCGGTCAGGTCATGACCTTGACCTGAGGTCAAATTTTCAACTTGACCTTTCGAGGTCATATTATATATCATTCGATGCGCCTTGACGAGCTAAGAACGATGGCGTTCGAATCGATCCTCTGTCTTGTGTGCAAGACAACTTATTCAAGAAAAACTACCGCGAAATTCCTGTTGTGAAAATCGTAACATTTTGTCTTCGGTGACCTCTGGTGACCTCGTTTTTGACCTGACCCAAAAATGATCTTAGTATTTCTTGTCGATCTCATCTTAACCTATCCAACGCCGTTTACCGCTTGTCGCTACGTTGCGCCGTTTTCGAGATCTCAGGGGGGGTTGTTTTCAACCCCCCCCCCCCCCCCCCCTGCAGTTCGTGTTCGGCTCAGACCCGCTGCAGTGCGCGTGTTAACTCTTAGCCACAACCACATTTACCAATTGTAAGCAAGTATATATGAATGTGCTATGTGTATATATGTTGTGGACGCTGAGTAATGAGTACTTACCAGGAACGTTATCAGGTAAGCAAATCGTTGTCAGTCCGACGAACTTGACCCTGGCGTCTAAAGGGTCTGTCCTTGACACTTCAGGCTTGTCAGGGGCACCAAAGTCCTTCCAGGGACACCACAAACCTGCCAGGGGCACCTACGGCCTTGTAGGGGCGCCACAGGCCCGCCAGGGGCACCGCAGGCCTGCCAGGAAGCAGGGGCACCGCAGGTCTAGCAAGTATACACGACAGGCCTGTCAGGGGCACAACGGGCCTGTTGGGCCCATGAGCACCCCTAGGGGCAGGGGCACCACAGTCCTTCCAGGGGCACCGCAGGCCTGTGAGGGGCACCAGCGGCCTAGCAGGGGCACCAGTCAACACAGGCCTGCCAGGGGCACCACAGACCTGCCAGGGGCACCAGAGGCCTGCCAGGAGCACCACCGACCTCGCAGAGGTAACTTGGGCCTGTCAAGGCCCAGGGGCACCACGGGCCTGTCGAGAGGCACTTCAGGCTTTCAGGGGCACCATAGTCCTCTCCGGGCGCAGGGGTAGCAGGGGCACCAGAGGCCTGCCAGGTGCACCACTGGTCTATCAGGGGCACCACGAGCCTGTCATAGCCAGGCATCTCAGGCTTGTCAAGGCTCAGGGGCACCACAGGTCTGTGAGGGGCACCAACGACCTAGCAGGGGCACCAGTCAAACAGGTCTGCCAGGGGCGCACAGAACCGGACCCAGGGGCACCACAGACCTGCCAGGGGCACCAGAGGTTCTGCTAGGGGCACCACCGGCCTCGCAGGGGCACCTTGGGCCTGGTCAGGGTCACCACGGGCCATGCCGAGGGGCACTTCAGACTTTTCAGGGGCACCAGTCCTCTCCGGGCGTAGGGGTACCAGCGGCCTGCAAGGGCACCAGAGGTCTGCCAGGGGCACCAGCGGCCTAGCAAGGGCACCAGGCCTGCCAGGGAACCAATGCCTAACAAGGGCACCAC